CATTAGCTGAAAGTAAATCTTTTCTTTCCATTCCCTCTCTTCTGGGCATAGCACCAACCAAAAAGGCAGCAGCAACATCTTTGAACGCCTCTTCAGGATTAGCAGTGGGTAGAACACCAGTGAGAAGTGGTAGTGCACAATCTGCAAGTTCCATTACAACACCTTCTAGAACTCCCATCATTGGAGCGATGTCAAGCAAGTGTAGGTATACTGGCTGGTCAGGACCAAATACAGCACCAGAAGCGATTTGATACAAAAGAGAATAGGCAATTTGTCCAGCAGCCCCGGTTACTACTACTTTAATAGGTGCAGCCTGAAAAGCAGATAATAATACTTTTAGTTAACATTAATAAAAGTAAAATAACTTAACTAGATAAAAATTAATATTTATAATAAATTATTAAAAATAATAATTACAATTTGCTTTTATGAAATTTTTATAAATATTTTAAAATGATCTCGTAAAAACAAAATAACAGAATTTAAATTTTGAATGTCTAATAAAAATAGTATTTCATGTGATATTTATGCAATATTCCACACATAACATGATCATGATATATATGAAAGTTTAATTTATATTCAGATAAAAAGTATGGTCCTAAACATAAGTCACTGCTGAACATAGTCCTCTCCCATAGATTGCCCCATTGGGGGATATTTGAAATAGTTTTCAAACTTGGCAAATATGCTGCTCATCTCCTGTTCAGTTTTCTACCACCACTACGCTATGCTCTATATGGCATTGAATGGACAGAAATGATCTTGCTCTCTAATTTGTCACATAATGTTCATGCTAAATACTTATCTTATTTAATCATGACATAGACACAAATAATAGATACACACCATGATTATAGATCCAATAATCGAAAGATTTTCGTTGTACACAAATTATCCACAGCAACATGCCATACTGTTAGCAAGTATATGATTAAATCAATAAAAATATATGGTAACATATCATTATTATCATAATCCCCTCTTTGAATTTTAGATTGAAGGGTAGGAAACTAAAGCATTAATTAAAACTATCTCAACATGTTTCATACATCTGTAAAAGGCTATGAATTGTTTTAAAAGTATTCCAACCAAAATTTACGAGGTTACACAAACAAGCCGGCGCAATAATTAAAGGTCAAATGAATGTCATCCGCTGGAGAAAATATCCTACAACTTACCATTTTATAATATTAGATTAGCAGAAGGCACTTGGAGAAATAGAAGTGAACGAATAGTTTCACTATTACGATCCTGCTCTTGCCCTTTGAATTTTGAACTCTTGATCTTGATATCCAAATCTAACCGGCGAAGCAAACACGTTCCCTATTGTAAGAGTCTTCAAACAGCAAACACGTATATCAATATCGTTATCGTATACAGAATTTATATGTATTATGTAATACAGTAATAGTTACTATAAGGTTACTATGTACGTCAATATACGTCAAAATAAAACAATAGATAATAAAACTGAAACCTGTCATTCAGTGCTGCCAGATAAAAAAACCTATTCAGTGCTTTACCTCTATTACACTACACTAAATCGGGGTCCCTAATGCCCCTATTACGCCCAAACTTGTGTCTTCTGAGGGTTAAACTGGACTAGATTTAGTCGCCCCCAATCCGAAAACTCTGTTCAGCAAAGAATCGACTTCAGACACAAGTTTGTCCTGGTACTCGGAGACTTTTTCCCGTGAAATATTGGCACGGCCGGTGTACAGAGCATCACCAGTGCTGTCATCTGCATAGCAATAAATGTTACGGGTTTGCAAACAGAAGAAACAGCGTTGGCGATAGCACGCAGCTTTGTGGAACACCAGCATTAAGAGGCTTGTAATTGGAGCTTGCACCGTCTACAACGACTTTGATGCTCCGATCTGCAAGAAAGATGGTGATCCAATCGCACAATTTCTCGGGAAGCCCATAGGAAGGGAGCTTCGAAAGAAGCGCTTTGTGCCAAACCCGATCGAAGGCCTTCGCAATGTCCAAACTAACGGCCAATTCCTCCCCCTTGGACTCTACTGCATCCGCCCATCTATGAGTTAGAAGTAGATATCAGAAGATCATCAGCTGATCAACCACGACGAAAACCGTATTGGCGATTACTAATCAACTGGTGATCCTCAAGGTACCTCATGAGCTGGCAGTTGACAATGGACTCCATTGTTTTGGAGAACAAGGAGGTGATGGCGATAGGTCGGTAGTTGGTCGGGTCTGTGCGGTCGCCTTTTTTAGGGATCGGGTGGATGAAAGCCGTCTTCCATGATTTTGGGACTATACCTAGGGAGTATGAGTACCGGAAAAGACGCGTTAAAACCGGTGCCAACTCTGGAGCACCCGTCCTCAGCACAATTGGGAAGATTCCGTCAGGCCCAATCGACTTGTGGGTGTCCAGGGAGAGGAGTGCTTTGCGGACCGAGCGCTGTGTGAACTGCACTTCCGGCATGGAGCACTCACACCACGGGATGGTCGGCAGCGTACTCCCCCCGTCATCGAGAGTTGAGCTGTACGCAAAGAAAGAGCCTAGCAGATCGGCTTTCTCCTTTGCGGTATGGGCCAGTGAGTCTTTCTCCTGTGCAGAGATGGAAGAGATGGCTGACAGAAATTCCCCTGGACAGCCTTGGCGAGAGACCAGAATGTACGGGTTCCAGAAGGAAGATGAACTAGTTTCTCGCCAATTCTGCTTGTGCTCTGACTTTGCCTGGCAATGACTCTTTTAAAGGACCTGGAGGCGGAATTATACTTCTTTTTAAGAGCGCTAGTGTTTACATCCCGGGACGTTGATGCGTCAGCCTAGGCTTGGTAGCACTCCTGCTTATAGCATGATGCTATTTTACAGGAGCGATCAAACCATGGCAAAGATTTACCAACGTTTTCAAACTTTTGCAGTTCTTTTATTGACATTTTTAAAATATTACTACTATGAAGAAAAACGAATTTCGAATTCAGCATAATAGCCTAATCAAACCCCCTTTTTTAATTTCTGATATGATTCGATCAAATATCATAATTATTTCTTTAGAAAATAGTTGAACAGATTGGAGTGTTTGTAATTCGTTTTCATAAATCTTATCGCAATGTTTTTTTACGTTCCGAAATTCATTTGTTTTGCAAAATAGGGTCAATATCACTTCTTCTGCAACTTCTCCAGCCTATTTTATGCAATATTCCATTGGGTTTGTCTCATTTTTTGCAAAGTTTTGAGCAGACCATCCATTAGTGCGACGGAACGGGCAAGGATAATATCTTCTTTCTGAATTTCTATATTCTCTCGATTAATTTCGCGGAGAATATTCACCCAAATAGTTAAATTAAGAATAAATTTTTATAGCAGTTAAATGATTACCTGCCCCGTACTTAGCTTCTGGAGTATGAAAGTTTGCTTAACTTCTTCTAAGGCTTCCGCCATGTCTGGCAAATTATTTAATAGGGCATTCACAGCAACATGTTTCGCCGATCATCTTGTCTGACTACTTCCTTTTAAATTTCTTTTAACGTATTTTTATAATTTCTCACCTAGTAGTGGAGCGAACAAAAAAGCAATATACTTTTTGAATCAGTCCAAATAGGTTAATAGCTTCCTGGCATGATGAGGCAGAATGAACACCTACAAGCTTTAAGAGTGAGCCAAGCACGGTACAAACTCAGCCAGCTCATTTCTTTCTGCAATCCTGGCTTGTATTCCTTTATGGATGCCGGCCATATTGGAGCCATCATCATAAAATTGGCCGTGACACTGTCCAATATTATCATCAACTTCCAATTTTTCTAAAATCTGTTGACAAATGCCCTCTCCTGTATTTCCAGCAACTTCTATTAAATTAATAAAACTGTCTTTTATTTCACACACATCGCCAGATTTTTTTACATATCGAATTACCGGCTCATTTGTTCTAAATTGGATACATCTGGAGTGCAATCGAACATTACCGTCTAGTATTTGGCTTCTTTGATGTCATTTAAAATGCTATTTCTAACTGTTTTTGCCATTACGTCAATTGTTTTATTCTGTATTGTCTTTCATAAATAAGATACTTGTCCCTTTTTAAGTGTTCTAATTGAAAATTTAGAGTTGAATTATGTTTGACAAGCAGGGAAATTAAGTTCAAGAAGTTACCTTGACTAGGCTGAGGACATTGTGTAACGAGACCGCTAGGAGTTTCGTGGGACCAGCGAAAAGATAGGAAGTTTGTGAATAGATATAAAATACAGCACCCATAACAATACGCAGGATCTATCTTCATTTTTATTTCTTTGAGTGAATTACTCTCTTAATATCAATATCAATACTCCGAATGATTTAATTTTTTGTTGTACCCGTGTTTTCCACTTAATCATACACTCTGTGTATTTGATTTGCCTCATGTTCAGTTAATCTCTCTGAAACTTTTTTCCAATTCATAAACCCTGTAGAACACAATGCAGATGTGGTAGTAGAAGACAGTTTCTGGTAAATCTTGCAGCACGCACAAAAAATTGCATTTTTTGTCTTAGAATATACATATACGCCAAGATCTTTCAACCCATTCGAAATTTTTTAACGTGGTGGAGCCAGGCTGCAGCTATATTAATTGTACAGTTGTAGCACGAATGGGTCGGCTTGACCGGGGAATAACCACACTCTCACAGAATACCAGCGTCAAATAGCAGCTTAATGCTGCTGTATTTCGTGTGGTGAGTGTAGAGAACCGGAGCCCCTTTTTACTGGAAAAGAGGCATTCCATCTTAGTCCTCAAGGCTGACAATGTATCTTCATTTTGATTCACAAACAAAGACACATGTAGATGTCTATGGGTCACAGCAACCACTTACCATCAGGTGGACTGTGTGCTCGCTTGTCACCATTTTCCTATAAAAAAAAACTAATCAACGTCCTGTACCATATCGAGATGTTAAATGTCTGCCATTGCGTTCAGTATTCAATGTTTTCGGGGTGATTTTCTGCTAATAACAGAGCTTGATTGCTAAAGAAAGATCGTTGTTGGTCAGTCATTTTTTCAACCCCTGGCCAATTGCCCGGGGTCCGTCAAATCAAATCCGGTTTTTTGCATTTCATCCGAAACCGAATGCGGGGATTTAGATCCTTCGTATTCTGGCTTGGTTTTTTCAAGTAGTTCTGGTTGCTCTTCGCACATCAATAATGATGGTGAAGCTTGCACTGTGAAATTAGACTGTAAAAAATCTCGATCGGTTTGATTGCGCAAAGTGCGAGAAACATCCTCTAACGGAATATCAACTTCGGAAGTTGCAGCAGATACTGACGGGTCAGTATCTGCTGCAACTTCACTACCCTTCTGTGAAGCCAATTTTTCATATTATCTGCACATTGTTTTCCTAGCAACTCCTTATAATTAGCCTTTTTCTTAAATTCCACTCCCGATAGCCTTTTTCTTGACGCGCTAATTATGGAAGTCGCCGCCGGAGGACCCAAAAAAACCAAAATTACTTTTATCCTATACCTTTAAACGAGACATTAATATATATATATATATATATATTAACGGGGTTTTTTTTTAAGTTTTATAAATTTTTGTAAAATCTTTTTGTTCGTGTTTTCAGGCAATGAAAATCTGCTACAATAATAAGAAGGCAAATTTTGACACTGTGTTAACGGTCGTAATAGCTCAAGTGGATATCGAGCGGTCGCAAAATCGTTATGCCTTCGTTCGCGTCCTGACTTCGGTTCGACTTTTTTCCTTTTTCTTTCAAGGTCCCTTCTTTTCTGAGAAAATCTTTTATTTTGAGCCCCTTTTTTAGTATTTTTTAAAAATACGAAAATTTTAATTAAACTAATTGCACTCATGATTTTTTATTCAAATAACCAGTTCAGTTCTTTCTATTATGTCAATAAGATCAAAAAATATTATTCATGTTTCATCAGTATGTAATTTGTATCTAAATGTAATTTCAAAAACACACGATTTCCAAAAAAAATAGCGAGCAAAGCTCGGTCCACCAGGTACTTAAGTTTAATTTAAAAGATATTACAATAAAAAGAACTATTATTAATTAAACCTACACCCTGCCCGATGTTAGAAACGAAGTGAAGTGGCATCGTGGAGTTTCGTATAAATAATGTTGTCGGATGACGCCGCAGTCGTCACTGTGAATCCACGGCAGCTACATTTCCCATCAAGTTAGCAGAATAGACTCGCTGCATTAGGTTTCTGGTAAGGTGTTATCGGTTGACACCGCGTGCGTCATTGTGAATCCACGGTGACCGAGTTTCCCATCAAGTCAGCAAAACTGCTTCGTGGAAACAATGTTGAAAAATACGAGGTTACCGCGTAGTTCACGGTTTTGTAAGGGGCTTCCATATAACACCTCCCCCTTGAGAACAGCAACTATTTCTAAGTCTTGAGATGATGAAATATTGCTGTCTTCTGTGGTACAGATTTTTTAGGTTTCACGTAGATGTCTTCTTTGGATAGGGGTTGCACGCTTTTGTAGTGCACTGCAATAGTCCGTAACGTTTTAAAGTATGTGGCGGCGCTGTCGTCGCGCCGCAAGCGAAACATACCGAAGCCTAAATCACGCTATCAACATTCCGAATCATAAACAGCATATATAGAACATCTCCGAATTATCACACGGAGTGTTGGCCGCTCCCCGGGCAGAACACCTTGCCCGGCGGGAGATCTCCCCTTTTCCTTCCACGGCTACAGTGGTGACACCGACATGATCTGAACACGCAACCAAACACCTTCGGAAACTACAACTTCAAGCTTTCGTCATTATCCTCAAGAACCCCTACCATTCACTATTGAGAATCGTCTTCTGCAGTCTTCAGTTCCTGCAAGCCAGTCCAACTTGTCTTCATCTCGACTCACCGCAGATTTATAAGGCAGACTTCTGGCACTTGCTCCGGCACATCGTTCTCACCGGCATCACTTGCCAGTGCGTAGTACGACATGCATTACACATCGGCATATTATTCGCACCGGTGTCACTTGCCCTTACGCACACAGCATGCATTCCCCCACCGGCATTAAAAGGACACACCGGCAATCGGACTGCACTACCGACCTCCGGTCTGAGCAGGGGGGTGATGTGGCGGCGCTGTCGTCGCGCCGCAAGCGAAACATACCGAAGCCTAAATCACGCTATCAACATTCCGAATCATAAACAGCATATATAGAACATCTCCGAATTATCACACGGAGTGTTGGCCGCTCCCCGGGCAGAACACCTTGCCCAGCGGGAGATCTCCCCTTTTCCTTCCACGGCCACAAGTAACAAGGCTTGTAAGTACCAGTATATTTAATATCATTATAGGGTATAGGTATTTCGACGGTCAACTTGTAAAATCGGTTGAGACATCAGATTATGTTGAATTTCATGTAATCTCCTTAAGTCAATAGATTTGAGATGTATGTGAGACGAGTTGTCCAGATGAGTAGCTGGCTTATAGGTAAGCTTCGTGATCTTCAAAGGCTGCCCTTTCACTCGGTCGTTGATGTTAGTGATGGTAAACTCCGTAGTATACAGAAAGCAGTACCATTTAAGATGCTGTAATCCTCTCGCCCGCAGCGAGTATGTATATTCGTGGCGTTAGGGAATGATAAGACGATAAGATGTTTGTCATCAAGTTCCTCTAAAGCTGTCCTAGACATGGTAACGGTGGTCATCCGGCAGGTCTTGCCAAGGGACTGATTGATGATAAGTTCTTGCGTGCAATCTGGATCCTGGTCCGTCCTCTCAGTACAGAGGTACCGTGACCGTACTTCGGGAATTCAGCCTCTATGTACACATAACCTTTCCTGTTTGTTGCTACTAATGGATAAGGAGGGATGAGAGTCTGCCGGTATTTATTGGGAGCTACACATAATTTATATAAGTCTTAATCTAGGGCGAATATAGGTAAGTTAAATACAATTACTATTTTATTTCCCGAATAATAATAACCAGGTTTTATTATATCATAATATTCTCTAGGTTCTAATTCTAATATATGATCTTTACTGTATACAGAGACTAATTTATGAATCATGCTACTAAGTACCTCGACACTTAACGTTGAGTGGTGAGTACTTGAGGAACGAATGAACATATTCTCGTTCCGAGTCAGCTCGTCTAGTGTTTTCCGTTATAATAACTAAATATTGGGCGAACTTGGCAAATTTTATGAGACTCGAATCTCTGTAAGCATCTGAATTTAAAATTATTTTAAAGTTTCGTTTATTTTTATTTGATTTTCAATTAATGTTTATTATTAATATCCTGAAGAATTTTGATAGCATTATCATAACTTATAGCGTCTGAGCTGTCTAAGTTTCCGGTAATAGTCTTAAAAATTGAACCTAATACATCTATGAGACCTCTTTCTACGCGTGTTGGCTGTAAAGTTTCTAGGTGCTTTGTAACTTTTAGTAATTTAGAAGACAAATATTCTATTTGTAATTCGTACAGTATGTATCATTTTTCAACTGAAAGTTGAATTCTGCTAATTGTACTTGTAATAATTCTATTTTATCGCTAATGTCTTTAAGTTGTATAAATTGCAGGAATGTATGGTAGTGCGTGATTAACCTTGTCGATCCAAGTCGAAATAGTAGTAATCCAGGACCATCATCAAGGCTCTCAAGTGTTACCCCCTAAATAGTTTCCTGGGTCGTTATTAAAGGAGTAGTCAGGACCAAAAGCACCATGAGTTTCATTCTGGTTCCTCTGGGATCGATGTCTGGATTTATCCTCCGATCTGGACTCCAGATTCTTTAGATACCCGGTGACTCGTGGCAGTGGTAGCAAATTGAGATGCCCATTTTCGGCCATAAAACATGCATTTGTTAAAAAAATATATCTTTATTTATGGTTATTAATCGCAGTATCCATTTATCTTAAAAATATGGGAATATTTTTGCACAAATTAAAAGTACCGAAAAGATAAAAATAAAATTAGGTAAATACGTAATGCATTACATACATAACACATACATAAACACTCACGCCTGTCACCCAGAGGGGTAGGCAGAGACTACAGACTTCCATTTGCCACGATCCTGACACACCTCTCTCGTCTCCTTCACATCCATACACCTCCGCATACATGCTCGTCGGTTAAGGGTACTCCTAATTTGGCCCGTTTTCAATAAACCGCCAATTTGGTCGATAAATTTTCGCCTAGGACGTCCCTTTCCGACTCTGCCATTCACTTCTGCAACATAAATTTTCTTTGTCACTCTTTCCTCCTTCATTCTTTCCACATGACCAAACCACCGAAGCATTCCTTTCTTAATCCTGGTCACAACATCATCTTGCAAACCACACTCTTCTCTTATTACACAATTATTATTTTATTCACAAACTAATACGTAATGCATTAGTTTGTGAATAAAATAAAAAATGTTGCCAATCACAAAAATCCTTAAAAAAATCGATTTCCCTTTTCCGATCAATTACTTACGGTATCATTATTACAATGGTAATATAATTTTTCGATAATTATGTTATGATATAGGTGTAAAGCAACCGTTTAAAATGAATATTTATCCAATGCAGCCAATACGCAACAGTTGTCAACCACTTGTTTATCCGACTACAGACGAAAAAGGATGGTTATGTTTTTACTGTGTGTGCGGGTGGCTAAGCTGAATCGTTTTTTCCTATGGTGCTTAAAAACGTAGGATGCATTTTATTATAGAGGGCGCTACTATCAACGAAAATGTTTTTTCGCTAAACTCGTAAAGTACTTGACCGATTGAAATAATACTAGTTTTTACGGAATTTATCGCGTGTATTTAACTTTTTAATTACCCGACGTTTCGAACGCTTTACAGCACTCATGGTCACGGGCAGGACTGAGATGTTCAACGTCCATATGTCATAGTTAACCGCGGTTACCATAGATTAAAATTTAACTTTTGTTCCGATCTATGCAGTATGAACTTATGGTATCTTGAAGTCTTGCAGTTGTATGCTTGGGTTGGGATTTAATTTTATTTATTATAGGATCCCAAGCAGATGGTAGCACCCAGCCATCTTCTCTATTGAAATTAGGATGTTTTTTGATTTCAATAGCCTCGCGAATCATCCTTGGAAGGAATCGGTGTTCTTTAGCGAGGATCTGCGGTCTATCAAATCTGATGTAGTGACAGCGGCGATCCTGTACGTGTTCACAGACTGCAGACTTCCCGGAGCGTCGATTCTTCACATCAGCTATATGTTCTTTAACGCGGGTTTTTATTGATCTTTTAGTTTGTGCTATGTAGGAGAGACCACATTCACAATCAAGCTTGTACGCTCCTGCATCTTGCAGAGGGACATTACACTTGACTGATGGTAAAAACTGACCAATCTTCTTCAGCGG